CACAAAATTTTACATGGCTTTATCATTTTACACTGTAACATGGAGATTACACCAAACTATTTTAAAATACCACAGCCCTTTAATCTGACAATTTTTAAAACTAAATTTCATTTAAAAATGCGGTTTTATCTTTGTTTGCTGGTTTATGGGAAAAACCCCAATGAAGGTGCATGAGTTCTAACTAAAAATATAAATTACAAGATTTTATTTTCTTTTTAGAATGTTAAAATTCATATGTTTACTGTATATAATAATACTACTCAAATTTTAAATTTCCTAGGAAACATAATAACAAGCTTAGTAAGACTGAGATTAATTTCCTAGGAAATCATATTTGATTAAAAGATGGAAGCATGTAGAACACACTTTCTTCAAAAGGGTCCCCTTTTTCATAAGCTCTGAAATCTTCATAGGTAACTTTATTCAAAATAGAAAAAAATATACATAAGATACATATGCTCCTTCCTTTCTTCTCCAGGATAATTGCAGTTGTTTAATCAGAACTACACATTAGAATAGATAAAGAGTGAAAATAAAGGTGTCTGTTCTTACTGAACTCTTTTCTGAATCTCAGAGCAAACAGCCTTTTTTTGGTAATGTTCCCAAGCCTTTCAGCAGTCTCCCCAGCAACCTGTCAACCACTTGAGTGACTACAAGCTGACTGCGACCACCTTCTTGCCCCATATTTACCCTTAAGGGTGCCCCAAGTGTTTCATGTGCAGTATCAGAGCAGAGTTACTGCAGCACCATTGCTTTAGGGAGGGGGCTCTGGTAACAGAGGCACTGATGACTGCCTGAAACAGGTTTCAGAGTGAGCTGGCCATGACTGCATTGACACTGCTGCTTCTTATTATTACTATTATGAACAGAAAAACCCAGTTTGGGTGCATCTATCTGTGCAGCAATAGATCCCAGGAGTCATCTGTCCACAAGCCTATACTCTGGACCCTAAAGAATTTCCTAGCATCATGCTGGACACCTTCCTGTCCTATATATCTTCCTATGCTTATAGATATAGAAAGAAAGATTGTTTTTAAATCCAAAGCTGGGCTTACCTGACTCACCTTCAGACTCACTATGAAAAATTTGCTTTGGCTTACCTGAAAGAAAAGTTTAGAAAATTACATTTTTAGACTGTGAAAACAAAACCGATACCATTACTGTCAGTCACACTGCTCCTCGTTTCCAAACAGAACTGCACTGAAGAAATACACTTCTTTAATTCTCATTCATTTAATTCATAATGCCTTTCACATTTCAAGATCAGCAGAAGAGACAGTTTGAGCATAAGTTTGATCTCTTTTCTATTAGAAATATATTCCAGCTTCATTTTTTTTTTTCCTTTTGAATACAGAGTAACATTTTCCAAAAATGCTAAGTGGGAATTTACTGATTTGAGTATGCAATATGCTACTGTCATGCCAAAAAAGGTGATTTAACATATGTGCGTTTCTACCTAAAAGTGTTGGACTACAGGCAAAAGGTGCACTTGAAAATTACGTTGAAATAACTGCGCATCTCATGATAAGCACCCGTGAAAAAAGCAGGCCAGACATCCCCACAGACATCCACATAAGTAAGTATTATGACTAGACTTGCTAAGTTTAAAAATATATGTGTAATACAGAGCATACATTTGTGAGCATTTATTGCATGAAAAGCTCTGGCAGTCTGAGACTTGACACGTATTGACAACACACAAGTATTTTCCTGTTCTTCCAATTAACAAGAAGTATTTTTAAGGGAAAAGGGGATCTTTCTGTAGAAAAATAACCATGACACATCTATAAGAAACACATCAACAAGTCACTAGCAAACTTGCTTCCAACAATACAACTATGTTGGCTCTTCTTTCTATAACAAATAGTTCCTGCACCAAGAAGTTTACAACATAATGTATTTAAAAATCATTTCTAGATCTAATCCTTTATGCAAATGTACATTTAAAAGGATGTTTCCTTTAGACTGTTATCCCTCCAACTGCTCTTTAAAATAAATGTAAATAGGCAGCCATTATATACGTGGCTTAGTTACGCAGTTTCTAATGCCTTAGCAAACATGAAATCAAAACATCTCCTTGGCTTCTGAGAGCCTCTAAATGAAGGGTTAAACATACTACTAAAACATAATAGCCAGTGCCTTTTCCTAACTCCCCTCTAACAGGAAAGCTGACAGATCCTGACCGCAGCAAACAATAGCTGGGATTGTACTAGCAAGAACTAGTTCAGCGGCATCACTTGCCAATAATTTTTTTAGCAGATTTAACCTTCTTCTGTTTCCTTCACTTGAACAGTATGATGGGGAGGGGAGGGGAGGAGGAGGAGGAGGAGGAGGAGGAGAGGCGCAGATAAATTCCCATTAGAGCCTCAGCCACTGAAAGAATTTGTCCTTGGTACCTGCCAAATGTGAAACTTCAGAGCAGAGGCCAGCAGGGCTAACCGTTTGGAGATGACAGCAGTGATCTCAGCACAACGCAAGCTGGGGCACAGAGCTGCTTTGGCAAAATATTTTCTGGCTGCATGATACATTGCTTGGCCTGGAAGCCCCCATGCTCCCCACCCCAACAGCAGCAGCACAGCCACCAAAGCCCAAGGCTCACGTTTACACCACCACTGGGGCTCTAGTAGGGTCCAAACAAAAACTACCAGCTCTACACAAAATCTGTTTTGTATCTGCAATTACTCCAGCAGAGCAAATATATACATGTGCACCTACTATTCAGAGATATACATCAACACAGAAAACATTTCAGTTCCATTTGAATTCAAACCATTGCTGAACTAAACAATTCACAACAGGAGTGTCTACAAAAATACTCAAAAATCTCACTCTACTGTAGAACTAATTGGCAGATGCGGATGCCTTGCCTGTGGTCAGCTCCCTTTGGTTACATCCACACACATGATATATATTTACACACACATACACTATACTAAATCCAGTAAGCAGTAAGCAAAAGAGGCAACTTACCTTCTATGTCATCTGGAGCCGTGGTGTAAATGTTAGAAAGGTTAAGCTTCAGTCTGTCAGGGCACTCTCTATTTACAGTCAGGCTGGGTGATATCACTAGATCTAGCATTTCCTTATACCTGAAGGAAAACAAAGGAAAAATATAATTTATTCATTAATTATGCATGCTTACTAATGATTCTATTTTTTTTTCCCCTAAGAGTAGAAATATTAAAGCTGATTACCTAAACCCAGGCTTCATATAAATTCCACAGAATAACATTCACTAAAGTTTTCATCAAAGGGAAATGCTGAATTAAAATGCAGTACTTGCTTCCTTGGAGATTACACCAATCTGATTAATGCTTTCTCTTTCTTCCCAGGTTTTGCCGTACAGAAACTAAATTTCTTGATCTCTCATATGCCATCAGAGTGAGAAAGTACACACCAGTGTCCAGTTAGGCTCCAGAATAAACTATTAAGGGCTGAAAATTAATTGGAGGGCAGTTAACAGCATTATCTAGTGTTATAAGGTAATAAGCTTAGTAGTACTGGTGAGAGGATGTTTTCCAAGGGACATCTAAACCAGGCACCTAACTACAATGTCCTGACCATTAGGTGGCAGTGACACAAGGACAGTCCCTTTCACACAAATAACCTCATCGGATTTAACCAAAAATTTCAAATTAACAACATACAGGATTCGAGTTTCCAAAGAAAAATGCAGCTGGTTGTGTGCACACCACCTACACTACAGTCAAATTCTGTATTGCACAAATAGTTCAGAAAAGAGAACAATTTAATAATCATTACTTCAGACCCTATGCACAACATGGACAGGTCTATTCATCTAACACTCCTGTTTTCAACACGGGTGTCTATCCCCAGCTGTACACCTTTTCAGAAGTGGACTCCAAAGACATGTGCTTTCCTTGAAGCGTTGGATGGTTTGGAAGGGTACAAGTATGGCATACAAGTGCACAGATTTGCAGACCTACATCTGCAAGTTTGGGTAAAGACAACAGGGTGAGTACAGTAAGGAAACTGTGTGTTACATCAGATACATGTATGATGGTTTTTATGCAAGGCAGGGTTCCTGGACACATTTACCCTCAAAATTTTCTGTGAGGAACCCACAGCTCAAAGTAAATATGAAGCTAAATTTGTCAATTAACTATTTCTCTTTTTGTTCACACACACAATGCTATAGAAACCTATTTGAATTTTCTAACACTAATGTATTTTGAAGCTTTTGGTTCAAGTACAGAACCAATGATGAGAAGAGGAGCACTCTAGGACACTGTGCCCTCCTTTTCTCTCTGCAGTCACATTGAGTACAACCTTACTTCATCCCTCTGGAGGCTACTAGGGGCAATTAGGACTATTAGGAGAAAGTGTAACTGTGCTCTGGGATGGAGCAGGGCCAGAGCAAGAGCAGATGGGAGAGAGGGCATATGGTGGTGAGCAGGTCTAAGGCACCTGGCTGCAGCACGCACAGGCTCCCCTTTCAGCTCAGCACTGAACACACTGCCTGCAAAGGCGGCTGGCACACCCCTGATCTCAGGCTGCACCTATCTGACCTGGCCTGCAACGGCAGCAGATAGCCCAGCAGCAATCCACAGCATACCTAAGACACCACGAAGTTGAAGACAACAGCACATAGACCTGACATCTTGACACTGGGCTTCTGCAATACTAATCTGTGAGCTTCTGGGAGCAGCAAAGAGGTTTGGTTCGATTGTCTGTTTAAATCCTACGGTATGACTTTACCAGCTTTGAGAAACAGAGAACAATAAACCACATACCTTTTTATCTGAACCTCTCCAATCGCTTTTACAAAGCCTGCAAGTCCCTGTGAGGGAGGGTGTTGTTATGAACAGGCACAAACCAGGCCAAGTATTTTACCTGTAACTGAGCAGCAGAGACCAAAGCCCAGCTCACTGTCACTCTCCCTGCCTAACAGCTGGGAAGGCACTCTGCCCAGGCAGAAAAAGATCCATCGTCTGGGAAATTGAAGAACTGCCAAAAATGGGTATGAAGAGGCATAACCATTTACAAAGTCCACAGTCCCAGTCCTACTTTCTCCAAACAGGGTCTGGGCTCTGCTCGTCTGCCTCCCTTGGAAATCCATGTGGACATATGCATTTCACCACCAACACAGTCTCAAGTCCGGAGGCTGGTAAAGGCTTCCTCATTACATGCCACAAAGGAGAGACCTTTAAGTCAGCAGTGAATGACCAATGGACTATACACTGAGTAGTCTGAAGGTCATGGCTCTTCTGCACGATTTGCTTATGCCAGAAGGAAAAGATTTTTTCTTCTGAAATGGCTAATGTCACTCTGTCACTGGCTCAGCCAGGCTGCTGCAGAGAAAGGGGTCAGGAAGATTTTTGTGCTGTTTACTTCTCACTGAGGAGCAACAAGGTCTATCCTACAAGAAACTATGGCTCCCCTAAGGCTCTTTTAAAAGCAGTGGCGGCTCTCTTCCCAGAGGAATTGCTTCACTCGAATCCATTGGCATCCACTTAAAGTTTGTTTGCACGGCTGAGAAAGCAAGGTTCAGTTTTTTATCAGGCTTTCCTTTCCACCATAAGCAATCTCCATTTTTTTAGTTCCTTAATGCTACACCTGAATTGAGGAAAAGCACTGCTGTCCCAGATCCTGTCAGGCTGAGGATGTTCTACACTGTTTCTCAGATAACACATGCCCTTCAGCATAATCCAAAACCCCATCATTCATGACACTGCCCAGACTGTTGCCAAGTGAATAGGAGCAGATGTTTAAAGGGAAATGATCTTTTATAATGATTAATGCACTTTAATTACATCATTGTTCAGAGATTTCATTAGCTACTCTCTGACTGATGAGATTTCTACTGGTTTTGTTCTGTTCACTTTTGTATTCACAACGTCACCTCGTGCTTCCCCGTATTTGTTCCGTAACATTTTCCTGGGGCTTTTTAGCTTCCATTTTTTCTTAGAGTACATCTTGGTTGCATGTACAAACAGGTAACTTTTCAGAGAAATGCCTGTCTGCTTGTGCACGTCACGCCGGTGTTTGCACTGCCAGTGGCTTTGCCTGTTTTGCACGCACCATTTACCCTTCTCCTCATCTGCATTTCTCGCTTCTGTATTTCTTCACAAGAGTTTCTGAAATTCCAGTTTTAAAGATGGCAATCTACAGAAGATCTTCAGTAAAAGAATGGAACCAGAATGGTATTTAACATGGTAAATGTCACGCTGGAGTGCAACTGATGAAAATATCAGGACTTTGTTTGCTTGCTTTTATGAGCAAAAACATTTTCTGGCTTAAGTAATGCACAGTAAATCAGTAATAAAGTTTGCTGACTATGAGCTTTTATTAAAACCAGTGATGGCAGCATCTAGCATGTTGGACTGACAGACATCTGGAAGAGCTTTTGGCTTCTATAATTAAGAAGAACCTTGTGTGAATTTGGTGCTCAGCTTTTCCATTAGAATCCCCTACTCAAAAACCAATATTTTGCCCTGAAAGTTGGCCCACAAAATCTCTGCCAAGAACAGAAACTTCTCTCTTTTTTAATGTCTAGGAAGGAAAAAAAGAAATATAAAAGTATTTTTCAGTCATTCTGAAGCTAGGAATACCAAATTAAACATTTTAAGGTTTCAAATTTTTGGTCAAGGTGTTGGGGTAACCTACAAATCACATTTGCCTTTACAATGATGTTTTGAAGGCAGGGATTCCAGACTCCAACTCAAAACACTCAAACGTGTGCTGGAGGTCAAACTACTGAGCGATCCCATCTCTCTCCAGCAAAGTACTCGAAGGGGGATGTAAGTGCCCTGCTGCAGTGGGACCCAGCATGCAGACGGAGTCAGCAAGGTGCTCTGATACCGAGGGTGCCGAGAACTTCATGGATAGTGTTTTGAAATGAAGAAATGGGAAACCACCACCGCACTGGGCAGATGCAACCACATCACAGCTCTGCTCAGCACAGCTAAAGGCCAGAAGGCACCAGCAAGAGATGGAGGAGAATAAAAGCATCTCCCCTCAACACACTAAAGGCATCATCTCAGGACCATGGCATTTCCATCCTCACCGCAGAAGCAACAAACTTGTTCCTGGGAGTCTGCATATTGTCTCCACTTCTGGGGTGAGAAGATAGTATTCTGGTTTCAATACATAAGAGTACATGAACAAATATAAAATAAAAAACCAAAACACTTCTGGGGCATTTTCACTAAGTAAGAGACCTGGGTAGTAAACTCAGGGATTTACTGAGGATAAACTCAATGGCCAAGTGATGAAGAGAGTTAAAAGGGAATGACGTAGGAGCCATGCAGAATGAAGCAGGTGAGAAGAGAAGACAGGACTCCTGTCCTTGAGAAAAACCTGGTCAGGTCCTACAATGGGAAAGAGAAGATACTTTAAGGGAGTATGAAATTGTAAAGAAAGTTTGTTCATGGAGGGAGAAGCAAATCTAGAAATTACTCTCCCGGCGACAACCCCATGTGATGATCTTCTCAAGAATTTTTACTTGTAGGTGGCTAAAGGCCAAACACAAGCTTAAACCACGAGATCTTTCTAACCATATGCATATGCCAACACAGAGCCCTAGGCAGGAATGGTACAAGCCAAGTCCTCTGCTTTCAGCTCTGCTGGGAAGGGGAGGAGTAGAGACAGAGATTACAGTCTAATTGCAAATGCAACATTTTTGTCTTGCTTCCATTACTTTATCTGGTTTTAATTACTTGATCAACTGCTTTCACCTTTACTCTCCTGAAAAAATGCTGCTGATTACTAAGTAGAAACTAGCAACTTCATGACTTCAGTACTACCCCCCATAAAAAAGGAGAGTATGATCCCCCACTTCATTTCAGAAGTGAATTACTAAACGGTAACTTTCTCAAGCTCTGATTCAAAGAAAACAAAAAAAGAAATCTCCAATCCTGAAAAGTTTGTCTTTCCTTCATTCCTAGGAAATATGAGATTTGTTGTAACTTTTTTCCACATAGGTAAAATTTTCAAAAGCCCCTGCTATGTCTCATTAATTTTCATTGGGAATTAAGACTTGTACTGTTTTAACTCCTCGAGGAGCTTGGCAGCTTAGCCAGCTTTACCACAACTAAGTGGCTGTAAAATTAGGCTCCC